AAATAACTACAAATGCATCTCCCCCCTCTCAATCTCTCCTTCTCTTTCCCTCTCTTCTCGGTCGGCCGCACGCCGGCGGCCGGCGCGGCGTTGTCGGCTCGCTGCCGGCGTTCGACGACGAGAGAGAGGGAGAGGAGAAGGCAGAGATTGAGAGGGGGAAGAGAAAGAGAGAGAGATTTGCAGGCGGGGGAAGAGAAGTTCATACTTGGACAGGGGGAAGAGCGGGGTTGGTGGCGTCAGCGAGTGCATGAAGACGTGGCGGTAGAGTGGGGGCGCCAGATCGACCAGGTGGGGATCTTTAGCGACGGGTGGCGAAGGAGGAATGGGTTGGCAGCGGGGTGTCAGGGGGGTGAAGCAGGGGGCGGGAAATCGAGCAGGGGGGCGTGAAAATGAGAAGGGGGGCGGGGAAAATGAGAGGGGGGGAAACCTAGGGTAGGGTATTAAATTCGGGCGCGGGTGCCCAAAAAATTTGGGCGCCCGCGCCCAAAAAATTTTGCCAGCAATTAATTTTAGCGACGGCATTTCCGTCGCTAAAAACTCTTTAGCGACGGAAATTCCGTCGCTAAAATTAATTTAGCGACGAAATAAAATTTCGTCGTAAAATATTTTAGCGACGAAATATTTCCGTCGCTAAAATGTGATAATCCGTCGCTAAAACAATTATAGCGACGGATAAATGGCGACGGACGTATCCGTCGCTATAAATTAACATATAGCGACGGAATTGTCCGTCGCTATTTTTTCGTAGGTACAAGCTCATTTTCTAGTAGTGCTCCTACTGAACCTCATCCTGCTCAAGCTCATCATCTACCTAATTTTCCACTTGAACATGAGTAGAACCTGGTTGGTCTTTAGGTTCTATTTCAATAACCCGAGACTTTGAAGTCCCAACAGTCCCAACACCATCATCCTTGGGCACCTTAGAAATCATGGATTTCTTATCAAAGGTAACATCTATGTTGATCACGAACTTCGAATCTTCTGTATACCAAAGACGGTAGCCTTTTACACCATTTGCATATCCTAAGAATATAGCCTTCTTGGCCCTCGCGTCAAGCTTTCCCTCATTGACGTGATAATAGGCGGTACACCCCGAAAATTCGGAGCCTCTCAAAATCTGCATGCTCCCCTGATCACACTCTATAGGGTGTATCACCAACCAATGTAGAATGTGGAGAACGGTTCACAATATAACAAGCTATAGTCACCGCTTCTGCCCACCATTCATTACCCAATCCAGCATAAGATTGCATACTCATTTCTATCTCCCGTAATGTTCGGTTCAGCCTGTCCGTGACCCTATTTTTCTGTGGTGTAGATCTGACTGTCCAGTGTCTAGCAATACCCTCCTAATCATAGAACTCCTTGAAAGCACCATCTGTATATTCTGTACCATTGTCAGATCTTAGTATCTTTAATTTTTTCCATATCCTGTTTTCAACCATCACCTTCCACTTCTTAAATATCTCGAATACCCCATTCTTATGCTTAAGAAAATAAATCCAAACATACCTCGAATGATCATCTATGAAAGAGATAAAATACCTAGAACCACCCTTGAAAGTTGTATGAGCCGGACCCCACACATCTGTGTCCATATAGTCTAATATACCTCTGCTCTTGTTATTTCTTTTCAAGAATTGGACCTTGTGCGCCTTCCCATACACACAATCCTCGTAAAAATCCATACAAGGTTTCTTCAGATTCTTCAGCAAACCCTCTTTACCAAGCAGATCTAGATCCTTCTCTGACATTTTCCCAAGCCGCCTATGCCATAACCGTGTGTGTTCATATAGGTCTCCACCACTTCCTTCAGTTCCAATTGCTGCATCTCCTGTCATCGTCGTACCCGAGAGAGTATATAGGTTACTGTAACAAACACCCTTCATCACTACTAGGAAGCCTTGAACAATCTTCTTTACTTTATTCTCTATGATAATCTTGTAGCCACCGGAATCCAATGCACAAACTGAGATAAGATTCTTCCGCAAGTCGGGAATGTGCCTCACATCCGTCAGGGTTCGGATCACTCCATCATGCATCTTGATCTTGATATTACCTAGTACCACCATTTTACAAGCATGATTATTCCCTAACAATACGGTTCTACCATTAATGCTTATGTAGGTAGTAAACAACTTTCTATTTGGGTACATGTGGTAAGAGCAACCTGAATCAAGAATCCACTTCCCAGAGATACTCGCCACCCGTGATGACATAACATTCATTCTCGCTCCCTTTCTCTAAAATATATCTCACTTCTTCTTTGTCTTCTCTCCTCTCGGTCTTGTTGTTCTTCTTCTTCTCACCTACTCTCTTATTTTGATAGTCGACCTTGAAATACCTAACTTCACCACATTTGAAACACGTTCTTCTCGTAAGAGGTATCGATTTAGATCTAGACTTTCCTACCTTGCCTTTTCCTCACTCATTGCTTCTTCCTCTAGCAAATAATCCCTACGCTTGTTCTTTGCTACCACCAGTAGTCATATCACTGATTGCAATCTTCCGAAGGTGATCCGCTAGAAGCGCCATTCTAATCTCATCTATCATCAAATTGTCTTCCACAAGCATCAGTGTTTGTACCAGGTTCTCATAAGACTTTGGCAGAGATAGAAGTAGTAGAAGCGCCTGATCCTCGTCTCCAACTGTCACATCTATATCCTTTAAGTCTGATATGATCCTATCAAACTTGTTGATGTATTCCCGGATTGATGAGTCATCATCCATCTTGAAAGTATATAATTTGAATTTTAAATAGATCCGGTTTGTTAGACTATTCATCATGGATGTGCTTTCTAATTTTGACCACACGCCCATAGCCGTTTCCTCTCCATCTACCAAGAAAGCTACTCCCTTTCAAGACAAAGGATAATCGACGCCCGTGCTTCCAGATCCAGCTCCTCCCAATCCTCATCAGACATATCCTTGTACTTCTTCTCTTTTCCAGCCAAAGTCTTGTGCAGTTTTTACGAAATCAACGAGTTTTTTTTATCTGCATCCCCCAATAGAAAAAATCATTCTTCCCATTGAACTTTTTGATCTCGTACTTTCCAACTTTAACTGTTTTGCTAGTTGGCATCATCCTCCGCTTATAATAATAAATCTGCTTCTCTCAGGAAATTTTCGAGCACCACCTCAAACCATAAACTACACCACTCCCAATCTGGCTCTGATACCAATTGTTAGGTGCAGAGTCACGCCCTCACGTCACAGAAGTGATATAACCTAAGAGAAAGTCCTGGCTTTCACAAAAGCTCAAGCCAACCTCTATATCCTTGTTTTTACAAAAAGAAACAAGAAACATAAGGGAAATATCTCAACAAAGTGAATATACACTCTGTTCTCTCATCAGTTCTAGGATTGACTTATCGAGGGAACCTGCAAACAATAGTCAACACCTAGAAAACAGTAAAGACACGAGATTTACGTGGTTCGGTAAATTTGCCTATGTCCAAGGGAGGGGGTGAGAGGAGATTCCACTATGAGGAGAACACCGATGACTTGTACAATCCACAAGCTCATCTCAAAGAAAAAAAATTGATTTTTACCCAAAAGAAATTTATCTCTCTCTTGTAAAATCTCTTTTTTCTCTCCACAAGATCTCTCTTTTTGATTTGAAAAACGTCATGCTTTTCTTCTCAAAACAGCCGCCTATGCTCAGCCGCTAAAAACCCTCTTTTCTCTCTGCTTTTTCCCACGCACAGAACCCTAGGGGAAGCTGCGTATTTATAAGAGATTTGCAGGTTGATATGAAACTCGGGTGGGCCCGCCGAACTCAGCGCCCGCGAGACCAAAGTCTTGTCTCGCTGCTCACATGCGTGGGTGAGGCCCCCACGTGAATCCGCCGTTCACACCCTCAACCCAACTTATCCCCGTACACTATTAGATTTCTCCATATGCCCCCTAACTATTTTTAGTGACTATGTATGCCCCCCTAAACTATTGAATTTTGTCCCCACTTACCCCCCTGAACTATTTTGGCCCTACCTTGCCCCCTCTTAACCATCACTTTTTTTCTTATAAGGTGGTAACCATGTACTGAATTTAACAATTTTGGGAGTAAGTATGGACACATTAAATTTTGGGAGTAAGTATGGACACATTAAATATATTAGAATGTAAAGTGGACCTGAAAATAGTTCTAATAAGCAAGAGCCTAAGTTAGACGGGACAAAGTGAGACAAATATTAAGAAGGTGTTAAGGGTCAACTTCAAATTGCTTGTGCACATAAAATTATAACTTTTATGCCATGTTTGGATGGAGGGTAGAGAGGGGGAGGGGAAGAGAAATGAGGCTTTCACCTTGTTTGGGAGTTTTTTTAAGGAGGGTAGAGAGGAGGAAGGAAGGGGAAAGGAGGGTAAAATTGCTTGGTTTTCTTTCCCCCCGATTTGGGCGGTAGAGGAGGGTAAATGAGGGTAAATGGGTGTAATGACATTTTTACCCCCATCAAAACAAATAAAAGGGCTGATGTGTTATTAGTATAAAGTCATTTATGTAAATTTACATATATTTACTTCCTTTCACCTTCATTCACCTTACTCAACTCCCAAACAACATATTACAATTCTCTTCCATTCCCTTCCCTTCCCTTCCCATTGTTTACCTTTCCTTCCCTTCCCTTAGTAAACTCCCAAACACACCATTAGTTCTCTCTATAATTTGAAGTTTTGACAAATGATAATTGTGGAGGGGCTTTGAAAAGTATCTACCATCATCTCATCTAATCAGAGCCGCCAGGCCACATTGTCAGACGAGGTCATGTCAGACCAGCATCATTTCTTTTACTAGGTGAATCTGAACTTGATTAATCAAATAATTATCATATATATTTGTACAAGTGAGGCCAATTCAATTAGTTGAAGCTAGCAAGCTATTTAGTATTTACAAAGTCAATGTGCATCAACAGAGTACTCTGATGTTTTAGTCCCCTCCCCCTTTTAAAAAACGTGTGGCCCCTCAAAACGAAAACAAGGAAAAGCCCAAACATCTCACCTATAAATTCACCTCAATCCCTTTAAAAAAATCACATCAACTCTCTCCAACTCCAAATCCCATCATGGCCCTCCAAAACCTTGTAGCCATCTCCTTTGCCTTCGCCCTCCTCCTATCAAACCCCATGCTAACAAAATCACAGGAAGTTGGTACGTCAAAAATTTTGTACATATTGATTGACCTCCATTTCAAACGTTAAATAGCTTCTGATGTTTTCCCTTAATTTTCCTTGTTTTAGAGGATGAGAGGGAGTTCAGTTATGTGACCGGAACCGAGAACGGGCCGGAGCACTGGGGCGAGATCCACAAGGAGTGGTCCGAGTGCGGCAAGGGCGAAATGCAGTCTCCTATTGATTTGCATCACCAGAGGGTTCAGGTTCTTGATTACCTGGGCCCACTCACGCGAAAGTATCAGCCAGCTGACGCTGTGATGGTGAATCGAGGACACGATATAAGTGTACATGATTTCTTTAAAACCGAAATATGGTCTAATTTTTTTTTAGAATAATTAACACGTCGTAGTTAATCACACGCATTTTGTTGTATGTGTAGGTGAAATGGGAAGAGGGGGCAGCAGGAGGTATTTTGTTGAACGGGACGGAGTATTTTCTAAGGCAATTGCATTGGCATGCTCCTTCTGAGCACTCCATCAATGGAGTCAGGTGGTTATTTTTGCTTTATCCAAATCAAACAGTTCATTTTTTTTTTCGACGATGAATATTATTGTTTTCGATCCCCATTTAGTTTTCCATATGAATCCATTGAGAAACATGCTTGATGCCATTTAGTTTTCCATATGAATCAGTTCGGAAAAATGTTGGTTTTAATGATTTAAAATTTCATGACCGATAATGCTTGGTTCAGCTACCTAATTGGGTAATGGATCAGTTTGGGGGTTTCAGTGCCTTAAAAATGAAGTTATTAATTAGGTGTATTGATAATAAACTTTTTATTCAAGTTATTATTTTTCTAATCCTTTTCAAAGAGGCATACTTGTAGTTCTAGATCTCACAAAAACCCTGAAAAATCACCAAATGCAGCAAATAAAATCACATAAGATTTAACGTGGAAAACCCTCAACAGGGAAAAACCACGGAATCAAAATTAATTCACTATTACCTCCAAATTACAATCTTTTGCACGGACAAAGACTGCCAAACTCTCTCTCTCTCTCTCTTTTTCTCTACACTTCTTCTTCTTAGTTTTTCCTCTAACAATAGAAGGACATATATAGGGAAACCAAAACTCTATCTCTACACTTCTTCTTCTTAGTTTTTCCTCTAACAATAGAAGGACATATATAGGGAAACCAAAACTCTATCTCTAGCCTAACTTCCTAATTATTTTCCTCTAACAATAGAAGGACATATATAGGGAAACCAAAACTCTATCTCTAGCCTAACTTCCTAATTAAAATAAGATTCAAACTCTTAATCATGATGGAACTCAAACTTCTAATCATGATAGATCTCTAACTCTATCTAATTCTCATAAAGTTTTACAAAGAATTAAAAACACTATACTAATTTAGAATTTGAGTTGATACCCAACATATCCACCCTCGACGAAAAATCTCTAAGTGTCTCAACGGTTTCAAAAAAACTTACTCTCTTCATCTTGTTCTTCACCTCTTCCTTATGGACAAGAATCTGAGAAGAGTAATCTACACTATTAACGGATCGTCCATCTAAATAGCAGATATGGTTGCTATTCTTCCTCCCTCGCAAAATCAAATCACCATCTCTATACACATTGCACCACTCTCCTTCACCCATATACTTGTACCCACGTGATACCATCTCACCCAACGTAATTAAATTAGTACAACATGACGACACATATCTCACATGATGAAGAATTCTGACTTTCTCAGTGTGAAGCTTGAGGTGAACACTTCCAACACCTTCAACCTTCATCTTCTCGTTGTTTGCAACAATCACATCGTCAAATTCTTCATCTGTCTTCAATGTGTTAAAATAATTTTTGTTGTTGTAAACGTGCATAGAGGCTACAGAATCTAACACTAAGTATTACTCGCATCAGTACCTGTACTCTGCATCAATAAAACCACATCTTCATCACACACAACCACCGATGAGTCCGCCTTCTTCCTATTTTCTTGAAGCTTCATCTGTCTAATACTCTTCAAATCATCACGCATCTAGGAACATCTGAACTGAATGTGACCATTCCCTCCGTAATAATAACACTCCTTTTCGCTGTCATCTTGGGCCCGATATTTTGACCTTCCTCAATGACTGTCACATCTCCTCGTACTCCTCCCTCGATTAGAACCTTCAAAAGCTAGTGCACTCTCACCATCATTAGATGTGTTCTCCTTTCCCATCATTCTTTCATTCTCACGTAGGAGTGCTGTCATATCGTCGAACTTCAAAGTCTGCTTCCCTGTAATTATCGTCTGAACTAACGGCTTGTACGACTTCGGCAAGGAAGACAATAGGAGTAGCGTCTGCTCTTCTTCTTTAATCTCCTCATCAATATTCATAAGTTGGCAAACTAGCTGATTAAAGGTATTGATGTGATCTTGAATTATCGTATCTTCTTCCATCTTCAACGAATAAAGCTCCATCCTCAAACACAATCGGTTGGTCATCGACTTCGACGCATAAATCCCCTCGAGCCTTTCCCACAGCCCTCTTGGTGTGGTCTCTTGTATAACATTGTACTTGATCTCGGGGGACGAATACCAAACGAATTATGCTATCCGTCCTCTTTTGCATAGAACTCCATTCAGCATCCCTCAATCCTTCAGGTTTCTTATCCTCTAAAGCTTGATCAACACCCTGCTGCACAAGAATATCTTAAACTGTGCACTATCATACTGTAAAATTTGTCTTGCTATTGAATAGGGGAATATCAAACTTCGGACCCGAAGAAGTCATCAGCCTCTAACCGTAATCGAAATTCAAATCAGACACTGTAGAGATTGAATTTGATAAAACCGACGTATAAAACAAACTCAGCACGTTGAAAAACCTGGGAACGACTACTGGATCACCAAAATCTGCCTTCAAATCCTCGATCAAAAGGCAAATCAACCTCAACCAATCGGATCTGTGTGAACAGTGCTCGCTACAGTATTCCTGCTACAGTATCGTAGCTACAATAACCTTTTTTTTCAATGTCGATCACCGCCCTTCTACCGCTGACGCCTTCACGAATCGCGCACCGATCAAACCTCTACGAACCGTCGAACCTCGCTCTGATATCACTTGTAGGGATTTTTAGATCTCACAAAAATCCCGAAAAAACCACCAAACACAGCAAATAAAATCACACAAGATTTAACGTGAAAAACCCTCAACAGAGAAAAACCAAGGGATCAAAATCAATCCACTATCACCTCCAAATTACAATTTTTTGCACGGACAAGGACTGCCAACCCCCCCCCCCCCCC